TGTGTACCGTCGTAATTAGTGTGAGTCATGCTATTATTATTAATGTTATAGTAGCTGTTATCGTTAAGTACATGATGAAGTATTATGTCAATTCTGTTCATGGATCTGCAGTTAAAATCTGTATGTTTAGAGTTAAGATCTTCAATGATCACAACATTGGGATATTTGTTTATAACTGATTATAAGACGTGATGTAGCAATGTTGGGGAGACGTATATTGTTAATACAGTGAGGGTGTGATGGTTAGGTAGATGAATGTGGAATAGTATATGTTCGTTATTATAAGGTGAGGGGTGTTCTGGAAAGGCTACTTTCAAATTTTTGTTCTAAAGTAAAGCTATTCCTCATTTTCCTGTAGATTTAGGTTTATGTGATGTTGTAGTTAGGTAAATTGAATTTGCTATTTTCATTAAGGAAAGTCTCATTAAGACTTATAATGTCAGCTTGAATAGTTACATAATTTAAGTAGTTCTTTTTGTGTGTGTGTGGAATAACCCACCTTGTCTCTTAGCATTAAGAAAACAAACCATTCTCAAAGAGAATCATTGGGATGATGTACCCAAAGCACTGGTTGTTGACTTGGCAGCCAAAAACATAGTTTCTAATGTGAGATGGATAAGGTGTGTCTGGTCCAAAGTAGTTGTAGGCGATGTTGCAGATCTTGGTCGTAAGTTGTAACAGATCCTCTGGGATCACATCATGATCTGCACTGTAGTTCACGTCTGCAATGAATCTAGTTAATCGAGCATAAATGTTGGCTGTTAGTGTGCTTGAAGTGCAAGCAGGCAGTAGTGGTGCTCTGGCACAGTAGGCATGGGTGAATATGTGCTGGCTTGGATAAGGATTTGTGGATGAAGTGGGCTGGTTCATCCTAGGTGTTTGTAGAGGTTCTGGTAGCAGCATTCTTCTAGCTGGTGAGGGCACTGCATGAGAGTGTGTTTCTGGGCTATATGCCTGGATGAATAGATTAAATTCTTATGATTCATAAGAGAGGTTGGAAAGAAACCTCCCAGTGTATAAACTGTAAGACTATCTCAGAGAAATCTGAACTTTCTACAAATATAAACTACAAGGAATTATCATGTACCCCAATGATGTCTACTTGAACAAGAAAGGAGTAAAAACAAACAGTATTTAGTAAAATGGAAAATATGTCCCTATAAATTTGATAGCTGGATCTCTCAAGCTGACATAATTGCCTGCCATCATAAATTGTTAAGTATAGCTATATTGCTCATTATTTGTCATGAATAAACTGAACATTATGTTACCTAGTAATAGTTCTATAAACTATTTTGTTAGAAATACTATGACTAATTATTTAACTCATCTTCAAAAACCTATCAAACTTGAAGATTCGTGGGAAGTATGGCCTTGGCCAAATTATAGTATCCTCAAAATTGACATAATGTACCTGATGGTACAGGATGGATTTCTTAATTTCTAGGCTCGTTACTTTAGTCAATTGTATTAGACCAAATCATTACAATGGACCTGAAGATTTAATTAGAATCATAAGCCAGGTAGAAGAATCACCTTCTAAAGGTGATAAAGAAACATATATTTAATTATGATTGGTTCACCAGAAAAGTCAGCAGGAACATGCATGATAGATCCTCCATAACTCTCAGTCCTGTACAATCAGTACTATTTGGATTTGATAATAATGGTATTATATCAGAGCCTACTATAACATGGTGGATTTTATTCGCTCTACTTGTATGATTGTACTACTAATGCAAATAATTCAAGTTAAAAGTAAAGATGAAGACATGATTATTGAAATAGTTACAAAACCTCATTGCAGACTAATTTCTAAACAGTTTTCAGACTATTGAGATTGATATAAAGGATGATATTGGTTGCCCTATCCAATTTCAACAAGGGAAAGACATCATAAGAGTGCTTTATTATCTTAAACCAGCTGTCTATGATGCATATTGCAACTACGAAGTACCTTATTATACTGTAAGTCATTGCCAATTGGTTATAGATTGGGGATTATATTGAGTAACCTCTTTCGATCAGCTGTCCCAATTCTGAAAAAAGGAGCCCTAATTATAGGAAAACAAGCTGTTCGGTCTGGCATAAATTTATCATCAGATGTCATACAAGGAAAATCTTTTGTCAAGGCTGGAAAACAATGAGCTCAGAATCTGACTCAAGATATCAAGTAGTTTCTGAACATTTAACCTTATACAAAAAAATAGATCTAAGGGTCCCATGTTCAGTATCGCTAAAACCAAGAGACAAAGAACATAAACTCCAGACTTTATCAAGAAGTAATCATGCCTCTTTCATGTAAAAAGTTCTGTCAGTGCACAAAGTTTGAGCTAGACCTTTTTTCTTTCCATTCCACATAGTCTGTAATTGGACTGAATATTATCCTTTATCAGTAGTGACTGACAGAGTGCCCATCAAATTTTCTGTATTCAGGTTTGAGGGATGAATATTTAAGTTCAGCACAATCATATATTCATCTAAAGCAAAGATTGTCAAACCAGATGGAAACAACATAAAGATATTTCTGTTCCTGTCAATCTGTTTCTTCATTCTCTATTTTCCCAAGTGGATGTATACTTGAACAACAAACTCGTATCTTATTTCACAATATTCACACGACGTATGATGCTTACATAGAAACTTTACTGAGTTATAGTGGAGAAGTCATTTAACATCATACATGGCAGGTAGTTTTAGTGATCTCAGCTATAATGATGACGAATCAAAAACTGAGACATGTAGTAATCAGACAGTTAACATGGTTGGCCACCTATAACCAGACATTTTTTTTTGCACAACACATTTTTGCCCAATGGGGTAAACTTAAAACTCTGTTGTGTACAAAGTAAAGATGTATTTTATGTTATGTTACATGAGGAATCAGGATCCAAGTTTGTTCTACTACGCGTTTCTATATATACTAGAAAGGTCACGATGATTTTGGCACATGCTAAAGCATTTCAGAAAGGAATAGCTAAATATCCTTTAAAATATATAATTAGCAAGGCATTTTCAATTCAACACTATAAGCATCTATTGATAAGGCATTTTTGGGTGAAGTACCCACACGTCTTGTTATCGAATGTATTGATATCGATGCATTTAATGGAAGAAAAATCCACAAAACTTCAAATATTAAAATTCCATGGCAATCAGCTTGGATGGAAAAGAGATTACTCCTGGGCCTTTGAAACCTAATTTTGATGACGATTTGTGTACGTGATATCAGCTATGACGAATATTCGTAGGATATACACTATTTGCCTTTCACCTATCTGCCTGAGATTAACACTTTAGCTTAGCGAAGCAGGGAAATTTACGAATTGACATACATTTTGACAGGGTATTACTCAACACTATAAATATTCTCGCCTATGCAGAATTTCAGTTCATTTTAGAAAGTGGTTAGTCATAAACATCTTAACATATATCTAAGAAACTACAAATATTATGGAAAGTTACTTGATACTCTCACAAGATTTATGTACACGAGACAAACTCAGAGGTGTGTTTGGCAGTGATCAACTACCTGACCATGCAGAAAAACAGATCGTTAACATGGATTCGGGTCATCAATCAGGCAGTCACTGGGTTTGAGATGAAAAAGGAGATATGGACTACCACTCCAGAACATAAACATAACAGATTCATCAAGAAGAACTGTCAAATGAGGTCTTACAATAGAATGGTACTGCAAGGACTATAATCATCTGTGTATGTGTGTGTGGACAGTATTGTATTCATTTAGCATATTATCATTGCTGACATATGTCAAAACAAAAACTGTTTACTAAGTTTACACCTGATAAAAACAATAATGATATGTTTATTCGTAATTTTGTTTCATGTGAAACCACTCTTATTAGATATATCTTTTCTTGTAGACCAAATGGACAGATCTTTATTGTGATAAATAATTAAACAACAAAATTGAAATATTTTGTCAAGAACATTTTTTATTGATAACAACAACTAAATACATATTTTGTTTAATCTTAAAATGTGGGGCACTTTTATCTTGTATAAAGCCATCTTTTTTCTACAGTACCCCAGAAAGTGTCCTCCATAGATCCAGATAAATTGAACTATATTACTTTTTGATTAAACACTACAAAATCCATTCACCAGCTACCTAAGCTAAACTTAATATCTAGTGAATATAAAATCCTTCGGTTGCAAAGAATATTTTATCATGATAAACACTGCACATTAAATGTGATATATAATAATAGTGCACAAAATCGATACTAAGAAATAAAGCAAAAAACCAGATTTCGTGACATCTGATATAAGAGTTAAGTTTATTTAAATGATTGAATTTTGTTCTTTCTTCGATGTGTCATTCGTTTAGGTTCAGATGTAAAGTTTGAATGCTTTGGGTTAATTAAAATAGTCCTCTAAAAATAAGATAATTTAGTGTGTGTGTAAACTATAAAGTAATATTGAACTACATTATGTTTAGTGGAACATGCATTGTGTGTAGAGTTTGAAAAAGGTACTTGCAAAACAATACGAAATAGTCCTTTTTAGGATTACATATATTTGCTAGTATAAGAATCTAAGTCAAACTATAATACATTATAATTAGTGAAACATCCATTAAATATGTAGTTTGAATGCTTTACGTATAAAACGATACCAAACGGTCCTTTTCGGGACTAATTAATAAAGTAGTATAGCTGTAAAAAGTGCAATATGCAAATTAGATGAAATATTAATTTTAAGGTTTGATTATTATTCAAGTGAAAAATATAAAGTTGACGACGTAATCACTTGTTAAGACGTTGATCTAGAACAATCCACGTATCAGAGATGATCTCATTTGCGGGTCGTTTGAATCCCGTTTCGAATATGCTCGCCTTTTCAGCCAAAGGGGTGTTATGATGTGACGGTCAATACCAGTATTCGTTTGTAAAAAGAAGTCCAAGAGTCGGCGGTGGGTGGTATCGACCAGCTGCTTTTCTTTTAGTCTATCACTTCAAAATTAGGGACAGATAGTTCTTGAGTAGCTTTGCGCGAAACTCGGCAAACAAACAAACATTGTTTATACGTGTTTGTAATTTTTCACTGGTTTAATTCTGGATAGACTCATAACTCAAGTATTTTGAAAAAGAAAACTATGTTTTTTTTGTAAACTTCAAAAATAATTATAATATTGAACACTTCGTTTTGCAACAATAGACACAACAGAATGAGTTGTTGAATTTTTAATTTTTCACGTTCACGATTGTGAAACACTCTCCTAAATGTGCTGCATTAATTCCTACAATCCAGCCAGGTTGACTTGTTTACCTATTGACTTTCACAATTTTCACATAAACCTTTACAATGAAAATTCAATCAAGGCAATTTGTGCAAAATGTTTAAAATTAAAAGCAGGAACGACGTTTAAAATGCACAATAAAAACTTTATTTGACCGACGGTTAACATCAGAAGACTACATGTTTGGGTAGCTTTACGCTACTATCATAAGGAGTAAAAAAGTACACAACAAACGGGTAGTTTTATACAGAAAACGTTTAACTCATTCTGGTCTTTAAGGGTGGTATGAATATTACACATAGGGAATCAAAATTTCTTCCATAACTGTGTATTGGCGCCAGCTAACCATTCATCTCCACATGTTAAAGAATTATTTAATTTACAGCACAAAATTTCTATTGATTCTATAATATTCAATTCACTTTGAGTGTTAGTTCACTTAAAACTAGTGTTTACAGCACTAACAGTGTTGTTATTGTTAATTTCTGGAAGAAAACTTATGGATGTGGTTAATATATTATTATAGTTAGGAAGTTTGTTATACAAAACTGTAGGGAATGGAGGCTTTGTATGGTGTATTGTTTTGTAATTAAAAAAAAAAAAATAGAAGATACAAAAGCAGTTGGTTTATATTCAGATTCTTTCAGGCGGCGAGTTCTAATGTTGTTAAACGTAGTGATTTTCTTTCCACATTACATATTTACGTAATATGTAGTTTATAGGGTTGTGCTGTTGTATACCAGTTTTAAAATATCGAACAACATATCTAATAAACTCATAACAGGTCATGTTTTCACACGTATTCAGTCCAGTATCTGGTAGCTTTAGAAGCTACATGAATATTAGTTTATTTTTGATTTATTCAGTTTAATAATTTCAGATTCAATATTCGTTATTGATGAGGTACAGTATCTAACATACTGTAAAATAATTACATATTGAAACAAAATGTGTTGTAGCTCTATTAAAAAATCTCAAGTTGGCATGAATTTAGAGTGACGTTTATAGAAACAGCTATAAACGTCATGCATGCTTTGGGCATGTAAGGAAGAAAAAGGTGATTTCTTATATGTTTAGGTATTTTCCGTACACACGTTGCTATGAAGTCAGAAAAAAATTAGCGGATTCAACTATAGTATTTTAAATAAATTTTTACTATCATATTTCATTTATGCATTTCAATGGGTTAGAAACGACAGACTTAAAATTCAATGCCAACTTAATACACTGAATGTTACTGCTTAGTCGGTAATCATTTCGCACTTTTGAGGTCAATCAATGCACGATTTGACTTGTTTTAGGGTAATCTCTGACCTAGAAATAGGAATAATTGAAAAAGATTATTTCCCACATTATCTTCTGAACAACATTTAGTTACCAAGGAAATCACTACAACTGAATCTTCAGTAGACTATTTATTAGATTAATTCTCGTTTGCTTTATAGAAATATGCGGCATATATCTCTTTGTAAGGTCAAAGTGTTGAATTCAACAAGATAGGTAAGAATACATGCCATTAGATGAAACAAGTAATAATACAATATAGTAAATATTCTATTCTATCTGACAATGTAGCATCATAAGAAATAGTTACGTATCTCTTGGATAAAATACACTGATAACTTTAGAATAAGAAGTCATTTCCAATAGCAAACGTACTCTTCTTAAGAACAGTAATTCAGTATAAGGGAGGTACGAAAAGTTGGAATGGCAGAAATGAGACAAACTAAAAGTTATTTTTTGAATATTTACTGTCATACTTAACGCCAAATGTACATTATAATAAGATTAAGTCGTGCAATTATCATTTGCTTTGGGCATGTGACGATTGTTCTTATCAATATTAAGCTCAGAGGGAAGGGGGCGTTTGACTACTCCCAAGAGGTTATTCAAGAACCTAAGCCTCCCTGAGTCAGGTTTACTACCTTGAACGAATCTGAAACCCAGAAATGTTTAAGGAAATAACGAGAAGACAGACAGACGGTATATCGTGCATTATGATAAGATGTCACATTGCAATCACTGGATTACCAACATATAACTGTAATGACATTTAGGTTACAAAAAACTGTAATTCTAAGGGCTTTCTCTTTATTAGTTAAATAAGGGTACGGAAAAGTGAAAAACTATATTCTGACGTGAGCGAAGAGAAAGAGAGAGATATTTAATTAACGTTAGTGAATGAATTGAGGCACTGTTTATATTTTAGCATGCGTGATTACAGTAAGAATCTATTTAACTTTGAGGCACTGTTTATATTTTAGTATGCGTGATTACAGTAAGAATCTATTTAACTTTGAGGCACTGTTTATATTTTAGTATGAGTGATTACAGTAAGAATCTATTTAACTTTGAGGCACTGTTTATATTTTAGTATGAGTGATTACAGTAAAAATATATTTAACTTGTTATGTGAATATAGAAAATGGTGTATTATAGTCTAGCATGACTGAAGAAAGTCACGTTTATAATTTGGCGTCAGTGGTGAAGAGATTGAGAAATTGTCTCTATTCTGTCATCCGTGGAAAGTCAAATTTAACCCTTTATTGTGCCGATATTAGTCATCCTAAAAAAATAAGCATTTAGGAAAATCGTAAAAAACAAAAGAATGTACCAGAAGAGTTAAACGTTAAAATAAACGATTAAGAAAAATATAGGTAAGGCATTGTTGATGTACAGAAGTTGGAAATAAACACGTGAACAAAAGATCTAATTTGTTTGTTTCAGAGTAAAACCACAATGGGCTATCTGATGTACTGAACCCTAGATTTTTGCGTTGTAAATCCGTAAACTTACCACTGACCCACCGGGAGATAATCAAACGGTATTAAGGAAATACAGGTTAGGCAATGTTGATATATACAAGTTCGAACCAATCACGTGAACAAAAGATATAATCCCAATATAAGTATTATTTATAACAGATGCTAATAATCATAACCTAAGCAACGTGATAGATCTTACATATGTCACTTACTCAATGGTAGAATTCGAATGAATGATACTGAAATGTTTAAACCAAGTTTTTCTTTCAAAATAAAGTATTATAATTACAATTATATAAAACAAAAAATACTCAGCATTTCCTTAACGGGTCAACTAAACATATGGCACACATTTACTGTTTTTGTTAGATGTTTGAAATATATTTTCTTTATTAAACATTCTTATTAATATATACTCGTTAATTTTATTAGCATAATCGTGAAACTGAACTCTTCCTCTTTTGTATACTACTGTTATAAAAGTTCAAGAGCAGTAACTGTAACAAGTTGAAATCTAACCCTTACCATTGCTTCTTTCTTTAAAGGAAGTATTTTCTTAGTCTTTAGAGTTCCCGCCAATGAATGATGTTATTTGAAAGTAGCATGGGAAAAACAACCAAGGAATAAATATTGATTTTTAATGCTGAGGTCAGTTTTTTTGGTGAACTAATGCAAAGGAAAGAGTTTAGAATTGACGATATACTATTAAAAACTGCATCATAATTCAACTATGTGCTTTCAATGAATTTTACGGATTTTTAGTTCTTTGAAACTTCTTACCAAATACACTTTGAATGAATGTGAAATTGTAAAAACAAAACAGAAAGCTGCAAGAAGCCCAAAACATGAATTAACATGTTTTTTTATAACACAACATGCTCCTCAACATCCCAGCCAATCGGCAGAAGCAGATAGAGGATATTGTTCATCAACAATTACTTCTTCATTGTTGAATCTCCAGTAAAGATTGGCCTTGAAAAAATATGACAGTCCTGTGAAAAATATATAAATTAGTGAAATTACTACACACTGTTTATTTGGAAAGTTGGATACTGATTACGAATTTGAGTTTTGTATTTTATACACAAAATGATAAAATTCTTAATTTATCGTTAATTGAGTACCTTATGTTGAAACGATTTTAAAGCCTTACCACGTCTTTATAGACCATGTCGCCATGTCTGATCATGCTCTATCTAATAATTTGATTAAGTAGGGTTTGCTAAAATTCACAAATAATTCTTTGCCATAATAACATACAAAGACTCACCATTCCAAGTAAATGCCGCATCTATATTGGGAGGAATTCCTCTCCATCGTTGGATTGGTTGGGGATAAAATTCATCCATTTTTTTCTTTCTGTCATCATATCGCCAGTAATTATTTCCTGCAAAGAAGTAAGTTTTTCCATTCTTTCCCCAAACCAGAGCTGCATCAACACGATCCAAGAATGGAGGTAATCCCAGATCAGTTAGTGGAAAAGGGCTATCTTTTGTAAAACTGTTTCCGTCGAAAACCCAGAAATATTTGTCTATAAAGAAATAAAACTAGATATTGCTTAGAAGAAAATATTTGCAGAATTAGACTATAAATAATCGAAATGATAATTTGGTCAAGGTTAAAAACAACAACAAAAACATCACTTAAACAGAAAATTACTTGACAGTAGTAGTAGTAATCTTTCTGTCTTATAAAACGATATGTGCATCTGTAAAAAAAGTGTTACTCATGGTGACACTTCAGGTGTGGCTGAATAATCCATTTCGAGAAGAGCATGTTCAGTGGCATCTGTCACATGTATAACTTGTGTGTTCCAAAGTTGATCATGCAGCTTTTTAATTTTTCCGACATGCTCTCTTTTCTTCTACTTCTTCCTTCATTCTCTCGTCTTTCTTTCTGAGGTTCTGTCATCTTTCTTTCTGAGGTCCAGCTTAACTGTTTGCTTCCAGTTACTCCTGTTCTCTGTTTTCCCAAGTGTCTGGGTTGATGTCCATAGATTCTCTTGCAGGCATCTTTGAAATGAAGGTTGGGGCGACTTGTTGGTCTTTTTCCCGTAACCAGCTCATTATATAAAAAATCTTTGGGGATACATCATTCGTTCATCCTTCGTATGTTGCAGAGCTATTTGAGTCTGTGCTGGCTGACAAGCAGATACATGCTGGGGATATTTGCATGAAAATGAGATGGACTTATAACCTATAACTTCTGTCTATGGTGTAGTTTATATGCTGGTGAGGAAGCCAGAGTGTCCTCTCCAGAGAACAAAAAGCCTGGACACTTGTTGTAGAGATACTTAACAGTAAAATGAAAAAAATTACAGTACTCTAAAGGAAGTTGCAAAAACAAAACACAGTAAACGTAATGCATTAATCAATCGGGTAATTACATAATGGTCGAAAAATTATACATTATGCAAATGGCAAACTATGTAATGGTAAAATAAAATGCTGTACTCAGACGAACAAACAATTATGTAATGGTAAAATAAAATGCTGTACTTAGACGAACAAACAATTATGTAATGGTAAAATAAAATGCTGTACTCAGACGAACAAACAATTATGTAATGGTCGAAAATCTATACATAATCAATGGGAGAATTATGCCAAGGCCGAAAAAATATATATTTATGAAAAGGAGAAATTCAAAAGACATACATTACTCAAAGACACGAATACTGGAATAATTATATATACACCTGGAAAAAAGTTAAGCACCCCCAAATATTTTTCA